GCGACTTTCGTGACGACTCGCTCTACGCCTGGCACATTGAGTTTACTAATTAACAATTCATCTGAATTTGTAAATCCTTTCACTATCCGTCACCTGTCACATTAAGCATCGTATGATTAAACTCTCTAGATACGTTATATCAGAATTTTCTACATACTTCTCCAATTTAGTAGATTTGGAGTAACTTGATATATGTATAAGTTACGGTTACGACGGGAGATAGGAAAAGAGTAATTAATTGTGTCATGTCGCTCGAATAGACCGTTTTAAGTCCCTCGTTCTTTTTTAGGACGTTAGCTTTTCGTAACTCTGTACATTCCGCGATGAGAAAAACAACCGAAATCGCGTGACGATTCTGTTAAATTTTAATTGAAGATCTCTTCTGTCTGCACGTTATAAAAGTATCGCCATGATGGCTAATTTGTCGAGAGAGGAAGGGACCCGGTAATGCCGTTGTCGTACAAGAGGTCCAAGGTGGAGAGGACGAAGGGAGAGTCAAGATTCTTGCCTGGTTTCGTGATGGTTGTGATTCCGGTGAAGAGAAAAAGATACATGGCGTGACACGAGGGAGAGAGAAAGAAAGAGAAGCTACGGCGTGAGGAAGAAGTGGTCTCTGAGGAAAGGAAGGCGAGCAGAAAAGATAAGCCGCACAACTCAACCTTTCCTGTCGCCATCTTTTCAGTATAAACTGCATCCACGTAATTGATGGCTGCCAGCCCGTCGTAATAAATTTACGAACGTTCGTCTTTTAAGAACGTAACTGAAAATAATATGATTCGAGCCAACATTGTTTGGCGGGACATTGGTTGAAGAACGTAAATCTAAAATCACTGATAAATTTCCTCTCAAATAAAGGAAAAAACCAATTTTTTTATTCACCATATTTTTGTAGCGTAATTCATTAATGATAGTTTAGGCAAGCGTTTAGTAGCCGACTCGATGTTACGTGCTGATTATTTTTTCGTGAATGATGTCGATGACGCATGATTAACCCTAAGTACCCTATACAATTTCACTCGGACAGATGTAATCCTGTTTATACAGGCCGATCGTAACGATACACATACAAGATCTGTTTCTTGGAGGATTTCGGCTTCTCGGGTTCATTCAGCCCCTTTCGTTCGCACGTGTAAGCGTCCGTGCGTGTTCATACAGTCGCACACAGTCCAAACCCGCAGTGATGAGATTTTTATACATTGAAGAAATATAGAAAGATTTAACGTGAGGAAAATATGTGAAGAAAATAAAATAATACAATTCCGTAAAGTTTCAATAAGCGTAGAAATTAATTAACAAGGAAACAGTTTGCGCGTAATATATTTTATCGTAAAGCTTTTCTCCGCACAGTAAATGTAGTGAAATAAATACTATTGAAATCACTTCATCGATTGTGTCACTCTGTCGCTACAAAGATCGCTACTTAAGTTGTACATGATGAAAGTTGCAAACGAGAATGCTTTCTATCTGGATAAAGTGACGAATCTTGTCAATTTCGCAAGGTAGATTGGTGGACTATCTCTCGATTAATCATCGTGATAGGTGACATTGACTTATTATTCTTAAAAGATGCCGCTTATTTCAGGTATTTTTTTCTCTTTTGCGATAATGAAGCTTATCGATCATGCGATAATAATAATTCAACGCGTCCATTTGTGTAGCCGATTTAAGCACGATTTAAATTAAAAGATGTTTAAATTGAAAAAAAAAAGTATATTTATACTTTTGTATAAATTGTGGTCGAAACGTCGTGAGGCAGAATAAATGGAAATGGCCAATTGGGTCGCTTAATTTTGAATTATTATTTATACTTTGTATTAAAAATATATATTTTATTGGCACTGTTGATGTAATCTCATTTCTGTTTCCAAATGTAATATATTTACGACAAAGTTTCTCTCTGTATGTTTTGGATCATCCGACATTAAAATTTGAGGAAAATTGAATGTATCAATGATTACTCGCTATTATTTATGAACTCTAGGAAACTTTGACGACATAACTTTCCACTCGTGAAATTAATGTTAAATCGCGGCTAACTGGAACGGCGTAATACGCATCATTCAAGAAATCATGCCGATAATAACCGCCATTTTCCGGACAACGTCAAACAGGCGAGCTTTCGCCACCCGTATCTTTTTTCATGAGTAGAAATCTACTTCAGAGCAGCGATACCATTATATAAACCACAAATATCAAGCAGTAAAGGAATCTAAGCATTCTTGTTGTCTAAGCCTTTTTCGCGAACGTCATTAATACAAACCACTAATATCAAGCAATGAAAGAGTCCAAGCATTCTTGCTTTCCAAGCTTTTTTTGCGGATATAACCAGTAGTGCGCTCACTTATTTATAAAATAAATTACGAACTTGGAATTATTTCTCTCCATCACTGTTAAATATTAGAGAAGAAAATTTGAACCAATACCTTGAGTTGAATAATTAAATAAAATTTTGTCATTTTTAACTATCATGTGTGTCTAAATTTATCATTTTAACACAAAAAGTATCATTTTAACTCCATTTGTTTAGTTAAATTAACAACATATTAAGTAGGAGCAGTAGCGACCTATAGGAATGGTTAAAAATAACTCGAATTGAGAGAATTTGACACTCGTGAAATTTATTGTAACAGTGATGTGTTAGCGATTTTTTAAAAAAAGATAGTAGGTACACGAACCCGAAGAGAAAGTTCTAACGATGCTCGTATCAGGATTCGTCTAGAATCCGACATTGTTTTACTCGAGGGGTTGCCTCGCCAACGAGCGCGTCGCGAAACGATCGGCGACAAGGTGGAGCATGGAGCGCGAGAAGCGGAGGCGGGATAGGACCGTATCACGGCGACTCTTCCTGCTACCACGAGATCCGAAGGGTTTTCGCGCCGGCGGCTGCCGCGGGGGTGAAAGTGGGGTCTTAAAAGGTTCCGGTGGGAAACCCAGCAGGGCGTGAATGGCTCCAGACACGCTGGAGGTGCCCGGAACGTTTCGTTAGAGGCGAGGAGAAAAAGAGCGGGACAGAGAGAGGGCCGGAGGAAGTCGGGGAGATTCCGAGCGCACATATACGCGCGCACACGTGTCGCGTGTTGTTATGCGTGAACGGGGACACACGTGCGCGCGCGCATAGCATGTCCTCCAAGTCCGCCACCGCCGCCGCCACACACCACCGTTATATACCACCACGAAAGTGCGCGGGGTCTTTGTTCACGAAAGTTGGGTTTACCTCGTTCTTTCGGTGCGGATCCCGCGATGCGACGCGCCGGTCCCTTCGCCCTTCTATTTTTGCAACGGCGACGCGCTCCTGTGATATTTCTTGTGAAAATACGCGAGCGTATTGACGCACGCTCACGGAAAATCGATGAGCACGAGATTGTAAACAGCGTGAGCCGGAAATGGCTCAATGTTACGGAAGCGACGCCTCGAATTTTCTCACGAAGATAGTTATGCAGATGGTTCATTGTAGATCGAGATAATTATGCAAATCATTGAAACCGCGTAATTCGAGGCATAAACAAGACAGCTGAATACTATCGGGCGTCTTTGTAAATACTTTATACGTTTCTCAAAACAAAAGATGATTTCACGCAATTGCCTAACGATCTATAATCTATAATCTATAATCTATATTATCATGACGAAAAAAGCATCACGTATTAATGACTGAACTTCCGATTAAACAGGAAATCGAAGGGAATCGTCCATATGGTATATTGCTTAACGACCGAGATACAGTTTCGTATTTTGTCGCGCGAGAAACGATGGAGGCTCCCATCGGTATATATAAAAACTTCGCCGCGCGAGTCGCCGTATTTTTGTAAGCGCGCCGACTATAAAATTGATAAGCGGCGCCGCGCGGGCTTTTAATAATTCACAAGAGAGGTGAAACGCTAAAATGCGAAGGAGAATCGTTTGCGGGAATAAAGTTCTCGTCGATCCTATTCATCACGCGCGCGCCGCAACGCTCCGTAGGCGTTTTCGTGGGTGATTTCGACACGGTCTACGAATAGAAAGGTATATACGTACGAGGGAGAGAGAGTCGTTTTCCGGGCTCTCCTCTCTCTCTCTCTCTCTATCTCTCTCTCGTGTGTAACGGAATGCGGGAGAGCTGTCGGAGAGAAGGCTTTATCAACGCAGATATACAACCCGGCTCGTCGCGGCGGCTCTCGAGCCTCCCGTCCCGTCCTCTCGAAATAACTCCGCGCCCTTGCCATATTAATTACCGGGATTCATTCCGGCCTCATTTACAATGGGCTAATTTAGCGTGAGGCAACCTCGGCGCGATCCCCTGCGCGCGAGCACGCACGCATGAGAGTGACGTCTTTCTGTTTATGTGAGCTTCACGAAGCTATTAATCGTGGGAGGAATAATCGCTCACCGTTACGCGTCAAGATTGTTTCGATAAAACTAAATACGTCGTGAAATCTATATTTCATATTTTTTTCACGTAATATATTCTTATATCCTTCCAAAGATAAAGGCGATGGTTATCGAAAAAAAACTAATCATCGTAGAATTTTCGTACAAAGAAAAAGGAGTCGTAAAAACTCAGGTAGAACCTTCTTCTCGCCATCTACCGTGCCAAAAGAAGAGTACCGTTATCGATGTTTGTGAATATCGAATTTTAAGGTCGCCGAAGCGATGTAAGCTAGCTAAAAAAGTACAAAGACACACACTAGAAGAAAATAAATCTTCTGCGTTTCTATATCGTATGTACACATGTAGTACATATGTATGTCCTTATCATGACACGTCTAATGCATATGTGCTTACGAGCAGTCATTTTATGCGTTATTTATATGTATCTACGTTGAAAAATGAAGAGAATGTGAAATGAATCTGTGTGGCAGACGAAGTTTCCTACGACCGCACGAATATCGAAGTCATGTTCGAAACAAGTTGGAAAAGCTAATTTCTAATTTTACAAGGAAATATATGGAATCTCTGCATCATACATGCGCGCAATTATACTATGTTAATGACGTACATTTTTCTTTTGTTTTTTTTTTCAGCTCCTGGTGAGCGGCGGGCAACCGACAACGGCGACGTCGCCGGCGATGTCAGGGGGTGCGTTGAGCCCGGGTGCCCTGTCGCCTTCGTCTACGGCGACAACGACGACGGGGGTCGGGCCCGCAGGTACCGGCGGTGCCACGACCCCCGTGGGTGGTGCCGCCACCGGGCCCGGTTGTTGCGAGAACGGTAGGCCCATGATGACGGACCCTGTAACAGGGCAAACGGTGTGCAGCTGCCAATACGACAACGCCGCGAGATTTGCGTTGGGCGCTTATCCTCGACTACCCACCGCGACTTCCTACTCCTCCTACCCCACGCCGACGCCCTCCACCACCGACCAGGGACCTTATCCCAGCATCGGCATGGATAGCTCTGCGTTCTACTCCCCACTGGTGAGTCCCTTTTCATTTTTGATATAACAATGTATCACATTAAAAATGTTAACAAACGATTTTATCTCTCAGGATACCATTTTTTAGACATTAAAACTGTCGCTGCAATTATTATTGTCGCTTAATATATACAAGATATATATAAAGCCTTATTACATAAATCAAGATACAATTAAGATAATGTCGTTATGTGAATTAACCTTTAGACTTTAATAAATTTTTTCGATGGTTTCGCAAGACTATTGAAAAAAAGAATATAGAATTTATCATTCCTATTGAAAGTTAGGAAATTAGTTTTTATATTTTTGCTCCATCTCAAAATTTATTCTGTTCTAAAGAGTCAAAGATCTTTTGATTTTTTTCGTATTTTTAAATTTGCTACAACATTAAAATCATATTACAAGTTTCTTGTCAGACCTACGAAAGATCATCCGGTGCTTTGCAACATGTAACGCGGCCGTTGCCGGATGCAGATTGATCGATTCGTCGTACTAGGCGTGCCGGGCGATTATTGCTTCTCCAGTATTAACTTAAGACGGATTAGCACGTGGTGTTGCCGCGAATTAGCTTGGAATCCCGGTGACAGAACCCTCTCTCGGACGTCGGGATCGTACGGCTCCCCTCGATCGCCCCGCGCTCAGGAATTTGTGCGTCTTCGCAGGCTGGGTACCGGCTGCGTCGAATTATTCACGCGTCCCTTTCTCGAGAAGCGACTGATAATCTCGTTTAAGTTTCGATTCGCGGAAAGCGAACTCGCTCGTTACGTTCTCAAGGGGCTGCCGGTGACGAATTCGCGCGCATATGTCATCGGAAAATCCTCCTCGACCGACTGTGCGTTACTTCAATGTCTCGGTCCCAGAGAAGCCGGGAATCGAGCAAAACGCGCATTAAACCAGTTTCACCGAATCTAAAATTCGCCACAGAATTTTATCTATAATTTCATTATGATGTAATGTCGAAAATATTCCCTGGATCGGAATTACGTCTATAAAATTAATGGCTGTTCTACTTTCAAGCAAAAGGTGTTTTGTACATACATAGCAAATGTATATGCAACAAGATAAACGATGACAGAAACACAATCTGACTGATTTTCCTCTTGTTATCCGTATTTTGCGACTTAAAAGACCGCAGAATGCATTACCATTCACACTGATAAGTACATTTGATGCCATCCCGGATTGGAAAAAAGTGTAGTAGTTAATTAAATTCGAATTTATCGGGCGATTATACTAATTGGATGCTTTTAGGCGGCATTGTCGATTAATATATTCTTCGCGCGGCTAACGAGCGAGACAAAAATAGAGTTGCTATGGAGAAGAAAATCTAGGAAAAAGAAATCGTTACGAGATAGCTAATAATGTAGTCGGAAATTGTTCCGTTTCACGCCGCGATTTGACGGCGCGAGGATTTATATCCGCTGCAATTCATCGCGTGTAATTTGTAGACGGGGCTTATCTCGAGTGAAATTCAGCGAATGTGCATTCGCCATCCAGGAGACACGTCTCATTCTTCATACGTTGAATTAGCAATGTAAATTTGCAGATGCAATTTTATAAATCGCGTGTAAACGGCGATCTCTCATCGGCGCAACGCGGTTGGACTAACATATCATGCATTTACGAACTGTAGATGGAATCGTCATAATTCGGTAAAAAGGCAAAAAAAAAAGATGCCTGTCAAGGGAATGCTACTTTCACATGAAAGCGCAATTATCGTTAAAATTAACTTTTAATAACGGCATTATGTACGGTATATAATCAATCTGTAACGGCAATTTTTGTAATGGCACGGGACGGCGTGCCATTGACGTGTGCCGTAAATGTGTCATTACCTTGTATAATCAGATAATACGTATAGCTATCTCTATCTCTACAGCACATTTTCATTTTCACGAGTCGCGCGATATTTGTACGACTGAAAAAGCTATCGGCTTTTTGATGTTGCCGCGTAATCAGTGCATGCTCTGGTCAGATAAACGCTGATACCGACACAGACCTTTATCTGAACAGCAGAGCACGGACAAATCATACGATATGTCCTGCAATTTTGTATTCTTATAAGAATTGTGTCGTATCGAATATCGATTTGATATACCTATTTTGCAAATTAACTTAGACTGCCGTATATCACAGCGCAGTCTATAATCTGCAATTTAACATGGATATCGGAATTTACTACTCATTAAAATTTGCCGTATCATTTCAGTCAGCTTCACGTGATAATAATATCACGAGGTTAACATATTTAATTAAACATGCTCGGCCAGATTGCATGTATACACGCTAGTTCATAAGTTCAATATTTTACAGATCTATCATTAGATCTGAATATTTGTCGCGGAATTAGCTGAAAAACTGAGAGACTGTCGATAATATCGATTCGTAGTGACATAGGAATGTGTTACATAGTTCCATCTTAGAAAATTAATCAATTCAAATTAAAATAGCAAATGATTAACGTACATTTCTATTCTGAATTATACATCTCTTTTGACATATATATTGATATATCAAGCACGGAAATGCCTTCGAAATGCCTTTTCTGAGGCGAGAGGCCGTCGATGTTTTTTCCCTCCTTTTTTTTATTCATAAATAAAATTCCTGCACAGAAATATATTCCGCATATGACATTCGCGAATCTCGCTTATCGTGCGGATGCGCTAAACGAGATCGTCTCCGTCAAACGAATTGGCGATGAAGGAAGGGAAGAGGCGGACACCGAAAGGATGGGGAAGTAGGGAGAGGAGAGTGCTCTCATCGCTCTCGCGAACGAGTTTATAGAATCAATACGCGGGATGCCATGAAACAGGGACGGGAGCCACGGGGGATACCGCGGCGGCGGGAGTGCGCGAACGCGAGAAAGGACGACGAGAGGAGGACGTAGCTGCGCGAGATAGGGGAGCAACGGTAGACGGAAACCTCTTCTCATCAGCCGACGGATTCGTCTTATTTCACGTAGCGACGGTCGGCGTAACGGATTCCGAGAGAGATTCGCTCTGGCGACATTTTCCTCGGGAATGCCGCCGCACACGGCGTCTCGCGCTTTGAATGATGTTTCTCTTTGTGTATTCTCTTGATGTTTTGCGCTTCATTCAAATTGTCTGTGGTACAGAACAGTTGTATTTCAGACACTGTCACCTTAACACAGTGAGAATTTTTTATGTATCGTTAATACTGCGTGAGAGATTCTGCCAAGATAGATATCGGTTAAAATATTTCTGCAAACTGTCGCATAGTTGACTATATTTTTTTCGCGAAATAGAAATTTATCTTATCGAGAATGCGCATAATACCAATAACGTAAAAGTAGCAAATTGAATACTTGTCGGTTTTTTTCTTAGTGCTCGTTTTGACGGAATATCAAGCCACCTGATTGATAATGAAAATGCTCGCTATTCTGCAATATTAATAAGATAGCGACAGCGTGATGCCAAACGTATGAAACTTGGATATTCATTGGACGGCGTTAGTATCAATAGCAATATTACGCGGTTGTGGAGAAGAAGCACGTATGTCTGCCGCAATACGAAAGTCGTAACGTTTCGATTCGCGATATCGTGTGTTATTTTACGGCCCATTGAAAAGCGTAACACGCGTAGCTTTCTTAATCGTAGATTGTTACGCTTTTATAATTGGCACTTAAACGCGGCTGGCGTGCAATATTGCCACGTGCAACGTGCGTTTAGTGCGCGTGTACATCCGCGAGTAATACATCAGAAATTGCGTGAAATTATTGCAGAATCCTTATATTTATGAATTTATCAATTTACGAATGCGATATTTCGACTCATAATTTCTTCACCAGTTCGTGATTTTCAAATTCTCTCGTCGAGATCACCCTCGTCAGTTTCTATAAAAGATCGCGTACAAGAATGGAAAATTTTTGATAGCGTTCGCACAACATTGAAGAAGCATTGAAATAGTTGTACGTGTATTGAAGTACACTAGAGTATATAGATAATAATAATCATCATTGTTGACAGTGTTGTTATGCGGTTATCATTCTGCACATAGATAGTCGATCGCGGCGGTGAGTTCCGTTGTAATTGAGACTGATGAGCCGAAAGACGAAGGGATCCTCCCTCGCGCGTATTGGTTTAATCCATTCGAAACCCCAAGAATGCCATTTGTCGCGCGAGACGGTGGGACGCGCGTCATAGTTTTGCATCTTTATCGACATAAATTGCAGTCCGGCCGGTCAATCGTTCGTGGAATTTCAACGCCGTGGCGTAATTTGGCGCACGCGACCATCACTGTCAGCAGTTGGGTGACGAACGATAGGACAGGGTGTAGTCCGGAATGCGATAAGCGTCCGACTGCTGAGAATTTTGAGTATTTTGACGATGGGTTGCATTGTCCTTTTTGTTCATATCGAGATGATATCGTCAATGAATGAACAATACCGACTATGTGACAATTAGTAAAATTTTCAGGAGAGACAAAAAATTGTGCCAAATGTGAAATATACAACAACTGTCTATGTACCTTCTTGAATGAACATTGAAACATCTGTAAATAATTTATCTGGGACAAAAAATCTATAGAATAAAAGTGCGGAACAATCAAAGCCAAAAAGCGCATTTACAGAAAAATGTCACATAGGTGGTATTGTTTATTCATATAGACGATATTCGTTTATCAAAAAAATGAAAGAGAAACGTTGAGTGAGAAGCTTGCCCTATAAAAAGCGCCCTATTAAAAAAGCTTTGCGTCGCGAGCGTTATGGTTCAAGCGACAAAGCGTTCGAATATTAAGAGAAAAAAATATTTCTTTAATGATTATATTATTATATAATCTCTTGAAGAAATTGTACAAAACAAATATATTTTAATGATATATTTTAATTACGTAACTAAAAGCGAGAGAAACAAACGTTTCTTATATTATATAAATAGCTACAGAAGATATAATATATGTATATTTTATTTCATAATTTCTACGTTTTTTTATATTTTTCATCGTGCTTACTGTAACCGTTTGTTTTTCATTTTCTTCGTTTGCGTTTCTTCCTTTGATCTTTTTCATTGGATAGTTAAGCAGGAAGCACGTGCTGCTGACGATGCAACTCGTCGGACCGATTCGACGGGCATTATAATATAATAAGAATCAAATTAGCATTGAATGAAGGGTGACGCGATGGATTGTCGAAAATGCCCTATAAGAATTCTATAAGACTCACAATGTATAAAGTAACTTATTATTAAAAAAAGAAATATAAAACACAGAAAACGTTATTCATATCGTACGAATAAATATATAAATAAATATTACTTGAAAATTTTAAGCGACATCATTCTAAATTATATCTAGAAATTGCATCAATTGTTGTTCACAAGACAATCGACATGAAATCAACGCATAATTTCAAACAAATTTTGTATCGTGTTTGTACATTACATTTTTGTATCGAATAGAGTAGCACGCGGATAGAGAATAAAAAAGTATTTTGTCATAGAATATATATGGATCTGCAGTTTTAAAGCACCCCATATAGGAGACAATTATAGGCGCTATTGCATTAACTTGATGGACTGTGTCGAGCCCACAGCGACACAGGATATCAAGTTAGAGCCACCTCGCTGTCGCGCCCCCTAATGCGCCGCATACGTCGCAAGATTTGGGGCGCAACACAACGATTATTGCTACCTTAATACAGGCGTGCTCGTATAATCGGTTAAACCGGCGACCGGTGACCCTGTGTGACTGTGCACAGTCGTAACAATAGTCCAAAGCGTCGACGTCGGACCACCCGCAGTTCGCCATTAAAGCCGCTTCTGAAAAGAAGAGAAATAAAGACGAAGATACGTACATACACACACACACACACACACACACACATACTAACACGTGTGCCCTGGACTCCCTGAAGAGGGAGACTCACGGCGAGGTGGGACTAAGGACCGAGAGCAAGGCGAAAGAAAGGCGAGAGGGAGAACCAAGGACACCCGTTAGGGCCTTCGAAAATCGAAGGGGTAGGGGCGAGCGGAGAATTAAGAAGGTGAACGCCGACGACGATGAAGACACGGCGACGACGACGACGACGACGACGACGACTAGATGTAACACGAAACTCCATGGCGCCAAAGAAACCACTCCTAAGCCGCTGCACTAATAATATCCCCCATTGTGCTACCATTAGCCGCGTAACGTGCCGCCACGTTCCCTCTCTTTTCTCACCTGCGCTCCTCTCTCTCTTTCTCGCGTTCTCTTTTCCACTCTTTCCTCTCATATCTCATGTCCTTTCCCCCAACTCTTCGCTCGCCCTGTACTGCATGCCTTCGCAATGCATCGTGTGACAATATTATATACCGACTATAACGTCTGTCCGCGATTATGTCTTAGGGGTACTTGGTTAAACCCCTCGGCCACCTTTCATTCGCCTCTTAATCCGTCGGAATGATCAGATGAGAGTAAAAGATGATTGAAAGATTTCTTTCAGAGACATTTATTCTGCTTGTATATAATCTCTTCAAAACTGCAAACCGCACACCGTGTATTCAGATCAAATATTATACGAGTATTTATACGATCGCTACGACTTCTTGTGGCTTTCCAGTCTATCAGCGAAAATTGAGATGGATTGGATTGAACCTCTAAAGGATTTCTAGACAGGCTTGCGATAATCTCCCTCAGCATGCAGAACATAATCTGCAGCATTAACTATAATGGATCGGTATAGTTTCCTGAATCGCTCGTGTCACGCGAGGATCGATATCGCGCGCGCGCGATCGATACCGTGTCGTTTCTTTTTTTAATTTTAACGTCGCGATAGAAAGATATCATGTCGATAGCATGTTTACATTGTAGAAGAATTTATATGCGCGATGCAGCGACGTATACTCTAAATAAATTAGCGCTTATCATGCACTCTGCTCTTGCAGGGTAATCCGTACGGGCTGAAGGACGCGACGGGGATGGGCATGACGGCGGACATGGGTGCTGCCTGGGGCACGGCCGCCCTTCAACCTGCCGCCACGGGTTACTACCCTTACGATCCAACCCTGGCCGCCTACGGGTAAGTTTATCGCCAGGTTTCATGGTCTCTCGGCTCCATTAGATTAAACTACTACCGAAAGAGAGAGGGAGAGAGAAAGAGAGCGCCGAGCTCCCCTCTCACCCCCCCTCTGTCCTGTTACCTCCGCGCGCCGCCATTAAAACAAGAGTCACGATTCCGTCGTACTTGCCACGTATATTCCGTTGGAAACGTTTCTGCGCGACGGCGGTTATCGTTATCGCGAATCCGTAATATCTCCCCCTTGGTCGTGCACCTGGAGAAGCACACCGTTTGTGGTGTATGGACCGTTAAAATCGCGCTAGTCGTATCGGCGAGATGAGAGCCGCAGCGCTGTTCGACAGAGACTGTAGCCGGCGTAGAGTAACTTTTACGTTAATACGATGTATGACGCGCCAGATATTTATCCGACTTAAACGTCCATCTTTAATCTCGTTTAATCGCGAAGATAAACAGAAGATAGCTCGCCTGCACAAGTTGATCGAGTGTATCTACATTAATACGGTAGCGTCTGACATAATCGTCATCGATCGGCGTGACATTCGGCCGAAGTAGTTGCCGCGATTTCCGAATTCTGTCGAACTCGAAGGGGTTGAAGGTACCGGGCGTTCGAGTTAGGCCAAACACGACGGACGGCTACAAAATGGCTGTAGGCAGCCGAGTGGGCGTATATAATGGAGGCTTCCAGGTTGGACGTGTGTACATACGTACACACTAGCGTACACGCGTACACATATACACAGCTACATATATCGCCACATCGCGAGCGTAGGGAGAGGAGCAGTAGGTCTCTCTCCGTAGGAGAGCGAGTGAGTGAGTGAGTTTATTGATTGGCTTCCTCCCCGGGGTTGGCTCGCTCGTACGCCAGGCCTCTCTCTGCTTTACTCACCACTCTACTCTCGGGCTCCGCGTGCTTTCTCTCTCGCTCTATCCCCGTCTGTATCTCTTTCCCTCCTTCGCTCTAAATCCCTCTCTATCTCTCCCTCTCTTCTTCCCACCCGTTCCTCCCGCACTCCCTCGCGTACTCGTCTACTCCCTTTCGACTACTTCCTCGGCCACCTCCGTATCCTCCGAACGAGTCGGCTCCCACAGGTGCTTTACTTGCTTCGCTTAGCAACCCTCGTGTCCGCCTGGCGAACACACACACATACACACACGTACACGTACGTTCATGCTCGACGTTCAGGAATAGGCAAGCGCGCTGTGACTCACGCAACGGGAGACTTCTCCCTTCCTCTTCCCGAGCCACCCCTTCGGGGTGGTTGTATAGTCTGCATGTGCTCGGCGGCGGCGGCGGCGGCGGTGGCGGTGGCGGTGGCGGCGCCTACCAGAGAAACTCCGACGGTAGGCATTGTTTATCGTGGAATTCAGCGCCCTTACTGCTTCGCTCTCTCACCACCTCTCCTGGACAAGCCTCTATTAATTTACTTGCTTAATAATACGACGGCCGCTCTCTCGCTCGCTTCTCCCTCATCTCCGCCCCGGTCGCTCTCTTCCCTTAACAGGTTACTACGTGCCCCCGTCACTTTCGACACCGTCGGGCCGCTATTGTTTTAGGCAACGTTGAAAGTTGCGGATTGTGCTGTATGATACAAGAAGGGGGTATCCCGCGCGAGGCCCGAGGGTGTAAATTGAAGCGGCTCGATTGAAACGCTCCGACGCGAACGCTCTGATTACAGGAAATGAGAAATATGTCGTTTACTGGCTCCGCGAAAGGGTTCCTTTGGGGACACTTCGATTCCGAAGTGTCTCTTTTTTTCTGTTGTCTTCGCGTAAATTGATTGATTCCTCCGTTTTCCTTCATTCGCGTCGTTGCACAATCTCGCGAATCTTATACTACTTTGTTATTTGTTACTGAATGATAGATGAGTATGTCTGCTTGCTCTTTGTACGATAAAACAATATAGTAATTTAAATTGTTATTAAATGTAAATTTAAATATCAAAGACAATTGTCGTGTAGCTTTGAATAACGCGAAACGTTAACATAATATACATAATATAAGAAATATATATTATATGGAATAAAATTTCTTTTCTTTCTATATATTTAGATCATTATACAGGAAATCTTGCATATTTCACGAAGCTCTATAATTGTACTGCCGCTCTTTTTATTCATTAAAAGATAGGATACAGTGTCAGCGAATGCTGCAATGATACTATCTTAATTTTAACCCGATCGGGAGATACCGCTTTTTACTATCAACGATCACTTATAGACATTGCGTTGGGATCATAGAAACGCGCGGTCTTTTTCTCTTTGATGATTACCTTTGATTTCCCGTAACCGGTTACTTATTCGCGTTCCTTTCTATCTATCTCTTTTCTATCATCTGGAGCTGCCTGAAACGGTATCTAATACTAGAAAAATCGCTCGACATGTCGGCGTATAGACCACGTACGCGAGAACGTGCGCGTTTTATTGACCGACAAGGTAAAAAAAATTTTCCATCGAGATTCTCTCGCTCCGTGTTACAATTCGTTTAAAACAAAAATCGAGCATCGAGGTTACTCGCATATAGTACAGTTCCATAATTTCTCTGATTATCTGGTTGCGAACTGGTTGCTATACTCTCTGTCGCTGTCTATCCCGTCTTGTCCTAATGTGTAAGGAAAAGGCTGCAAAGTTGATGATTAGACATATCGGTCTATCGTAGGACGCAGCGATTGCGCGAGTACAGGGGGCGGATCTTGTCGATAGCAGTACAGAGCAAACGCAGCCGTAAGCTATACGCGATTGCACAGAAGAGAGGGTGTATGTGTGCGAGAGAGAGAGAGAGAGAGAGAGAGAGAGATGTAGTAGATTGGCTGGGTGGAAACGTTTGCACATCCGAACCCGGGCGTAACTATTGAAGCTACCTATATATATATATATATATATATATAAACACATACATACACACACATACACACACACATATACATATACACACGGTTATATCAGGCTGGAGGACGTAATTACGCGCGTTCTGCCAATATTGGTTAACCTTTCGAGGTTGACGCTACCATATGCAAAGCCTCTAATGAGTCGCTCGAGTGCTGCCAGTGTCTAGCATTACGCGCTCCTCTATGCACCCTTTCGCATCGTTATTATCCCCCTTAGAGAAGGAATTCCTACCGTTTCGATCCTATTTCGACCTCCACCTCCCCCTGAGTCTGCCGACAATTTCGTCTCGCATATGTGATACGCCTCTCTCCGTCCTTTCACTCCCACGAACGGTGCACCTTCTAAATTGACGTTGATCTCCAACCTACGCAGAAATACAGCGATGTGACAACTGAGAGTTCATTTTGTTATTGCGCGAAATCCATTTGCCGAATCCAATATCGCATAACGTCAACATTTGATTATTATCAGCCTTTTGACGAGCGATTGACTGACAATAAGAAATATATTCGTTCCTATTTGTTACCGTTAGCGTCGGTTTAAACATATTTTTAAATTGTCGAGGATATTTTTAAATAAGTCACTCAAAATATGCCAGTTCGGATTAACTATTGAAATGCACACGTACATCGAGATACATTTTATATTTGTATGTTTATTGATCACACGTTAAAAATCTACGTTGTGCTTTTCAAGGACGTGCGTCGCACGATTTTACTTTAGCATATGACAAAGACGATAAATCGACAAAGAGACGATAAGAGCGTGTCGGAGAATTTTATGATAGCAGATAGCGCCATTCACTCGCAATCTACTAGTCCATGATCTTTCGCATTATGAGCACAACACTTACATCTTTATACATCCGGCTTCGTGTTTACAATCCTTCAGAATATGTAAACTTCATATTTATAAAAACTTAAGCACGCCTATTACGCATACTTGCCATTTCCATTTCAAGTAATATGTGTCACGAAAATCGCGATGCTCGCAAGACGCAACGTAAACATCTTTCTTCTTTTCTATCTTATTGGACCTCTGCTTGCGCCTCTTTAATTCACAACAAAACTTGACTCGTATCACATATCAGTGTTTCCGTATCATCGTGAACATCGCGACTCGCGAATAACGGCAGGATTTTTTTCCCGAACCAGCCGCGTTGAGATATGCTGCAAGGAGGAAGGAAGATTGGACTGGTCGTTGCGCATTCGCCAAGTTTTTACTTTGCTTCCATTCGTCGTCGCATCTGCATCGTCGCATATACAAGACGCGATCGCATCCGAGCGATTCTCTCCCGGCACGCAACGGTACACTTAGTATGTAAATGCCGATGCGGACTCGTTGTGTATGTAGATAATTGCGCGGCGCAGCGCCGGCGCGGCCCCGGCATGTGGGAGGCAGTCGAAATTGCGCATATTAACGAAGGGGGCGAACTTTGATTATATCTGCAAGCTCTTGTATCGTCCGCTGTCGATTTCTGACGAGTCCCCGTTTCGAAACGCGGACTATTATCTTCCTCCGCGAATTTATTAACTTTCTCCTTTTTAACATTGTTCAATCGTACCGGCATGGACATATATGGACAACTGTTATATGATGCTTCGTAACGCTGATAATTTAAAAAATATTATATAGATATATCCGCAATAGAATAAACAATTTTCCACCGTAATACGGTGCGTTTTATTGTTTCGTCTTTCGCGAATGCCGCCATATGGTCGCAACTGCTTCAACGGCGAACGCGGAAGCCTATCGAAATCGATAGGAGTCCTTCGAGGACATGGCCGCTTTCTTGCGGTAGCAGCAGGAGGAACGCGGCCTGAGGAGAGCGGAGAAAAAAAAAGGAGAAAGAAAAGAAAGAAACGTGGAAGGTGGAAGTCGAGGAGAGGCTCGTTTTACTGGCGACGTATCCCGGCGGCCGCCTTTCCCTTGTACGAGGGAGTTTAATAGAGGGTGAAACGTCCTCCACCTTCTTCGAGTCAGCCTCCTGCGGATTGCCGTTTCTATCCCCATCGATGCGGTCATCTCGGTAATCTCGGATGCGGATCGCAGTGGTAATCGGAGGGTAGTGTATGGGGGAGGGGGTTGCGCAGCCTTGTGCTCGTTGAGTGAAAGCGGGAACCTAATAATTCGCCGTTCGTTCGACTTACCACGATTTCCGCTTTTCTCTTTCTCGCTCTTCGACTTCCTTCCCGCGTGTGTGTCAAAACGATTTCTCCAATCCGACCGCCGCGCCGCCCGTCGCGCGCTCGTCTAATTCGATTACATAAAGTGGAAATGGAGACCTGACAACGAGGTTATTTTTAACAGCGTTCTCAATCGCCACAACAAAAATAAAGGGTCTGCGATCGACGATTATTTCTATACGCAACGTCAGGGAAAATCGCCGCATCGTAAATCGAGTAACACGGGTTGATCATCATTTATCTAGAGTATATTTGCTTAAATCTCTATTATTTTTCACATTTGTAAAATTTTCATAAATCATTAGTAATGTTATTCTGAAAATATATCGATTATCAATATCTTTCAATTGTTGTTTGCCACTCGACGTCGATACTACGAAATTTTCATTTATCCCTAGCCTGACGAGCAACAGCAGCAGGTATCTCGTCAGGATGCGTTCCGCTCGAGGCAAAACATTGTTACTAACCACCACCATCGCCGCTATCGTGAACCACTGTGCCTCTTCCATCGTTTCACAGCCGATGGATCGTCGATAGGTATTTTAGTATATAACAGTACCCACCTATAACATACTCGCACATCGGGTTCTTCGTAAGGGAGAACGAGGGGAGGAATGGAAGAGAGGCGAGAGGAGTAGACGAGACTGAGCGACCGAGCGAGAGGGGGTGTGCGAGAGGGGATCGATCGAATCGCCATTACGGCGAGTGAGTGCCGGGGGTGCACGATGGAATCACGCCGCCGCTGGGGGTTTATTCCCCGTATATATTTGCCGGAGTATCACCCTCGACCCAGTAGGATGCCGCCCCCCCTATCCCAGAGGGGTTTAATGTTCAGCAAGGTGGAGAGAAAGAGAAAGGGAGGGAGAGGTGGAGGGAAAGAGAGAGAGAAAGAGAAATAATGCGAGAAAGAAAGAGAAAGAGGCACGGATCTAGGAAAGCCGAGGGCTCGTGCAGAGCACTTCGGACTTGCCAAAATCTGCGGGGAATTCGCACCCTCGACACGATACCACTTCTCGAGTGGAGTGGCCCGTTTCGACAAATATGGAACAATAGTTACCTTCTGGCAGGCGAACCTTGCTTAACGGCGATTACTCAATCGTTAATAATGCATTTGACGTTTATTAGCGACATGCGACTACTAATCTTGGTGTGATTTACAAAAAAAAGTAGATGTGTGTTAGATTGTAATATTTATATACACACATATGTATTAATTAATTAGCGGTCAACTGATAATGGAAATAAAGTGACGGACGTGCAAAAATATCTTCTACAGTATTCTGAGCTCTTTATCGGTTTCCTTCATATCGCACTTCCTGTTTACAAGCTGCTGCTTACTCAAGTGTAACGGAATTTTTAAAGAATATCTCTCTCTCTCTCTCTCTCTCTCTCTCTCTCTCTCTCTCAGAAGACGTCTCATTGTAAGCTGTCTTTTTCGTTGTCTTTTTCAGGTATGGCGCTGGGTACGACCTGGCCGCGCGGCGGAAGAATGCCACGAGGGAGTCGACGGCAACCTTGAAGGCTTGGCTGAACGAACACAAGAAGAACCCGTATCCGACGAAAGGCGAGAAGATTATGCTAGCTATCATCACAAAGATGACGCTGACCCAAGTCTCAACTTGGTTCGCGAACGCGCGGAGACGTCTCAAAAAGGAGAACAAGATGACCTGGGAACCGAAGAACAAGACGGACGACGATGACGACGCGGTGCTCACCGATTCTGAGGATAATAAGGAAAAGGACGATCTCGCGTCGGACAACAGGAGCGACCGGGTCGGCGAAGAGGCGAGGCGGGGCCTCGACGATACCGGTAAGCCTTTTTTCCTTTCCACGCATGATATCCGTTGCCCGACAGCGAGTCAGAATTCATTATTCAGTGAGACGCTGCCTCCAGATACGAGCCGTCACGTTTTCACGTCGCTATATCTGCGAGAACGATTTAGAAAATTGCTCGTAGTCGCGGGGCGTGCTGACGTTAACACGCGAAATCTTAGTTTGCGCCGCTAACAGGACTGCGAAGTACGAAGTGAAATGAAACGAGGGGCGTGTCTGCTAACGTCGCTGCAGAAAAAAATGCTGGGAGAGTAATAATAATATTCAAAACGGCTAGCCAGCAGCGTCTGCTTCGAGAGACAGTCTTCGAGAGAGAAAGAGAGAAATTGCGGCGGCGCAGTATAATATTCGCAGTATAATTCGTCGTTGGTGCTATGAGAGAATTTCTATTGTTAGAAACGTCTGATTATTATCAATATTACGAGAAGCTCCGTCGGCCGGAGCTGGAATCGTTTCTCGAAGGTAGGTCCGGCGCGAGCAAGGCGAGCCGATCTCTTTGACTTCGGAATGTCGATGGCGTGTTTTCCTCGCGTGACTAGTTTCCCCGATATCGAATACCTATCACCTGGCGTTTCTCGTATTGCTCAAGTATGTATTTCGCTCACAATGAGTCCGGACTTACGACTTCAATACGGGCGGTCGTCAGTTGTTTCTAAAGATTGCCTGAATCTTTTCGAAAAAAAATTCTCATGTACCGTTCCTGGATACCTTCCAAATATATCTTCGCTCTGTGCTTCGACCGAGAGAGAGATCGATGATAGGGCTTTTAGCCTTGTCGCCCGCGTACCTGTCGTTCCTCGAGAGCTCCTGTGGGTCGCCCATCAACCGTGAATTTTTACGGCCGACGATTCTCCAAAATACGCGGCTGCAGATTTCGGTTCGTTTCGACGCTCGATTCACCGCAAGCACCGTTGCACATGCTCATTAAGGACCCGAATGCCACGACTCGTTTCCCAAATAGTGATTCGGATATCGAAGATATTCGTATCCCGAGGGCGATTCGCTCGTCGAGGCGCATTTCTTCGCGCGGCGACGACCGGAAACGGCGAGTTAGAAATTCGCGGCGAAACGGAGCACGCGGTGCGGATCGGAGCGGATTCTACATCACGGGGGCGGACATAATGGTTCACATGTGGGTAAACACAGTGACGGGTTGCGGGTTGCCGCGCGAAGAGATTAATGGCCCTCGGTTTGGTCCCCCGGTGAATCGGGCCGACGCCGTTGGTATTGGTACTGGGCACCCCGGGCTCGACCGGGCTGCTTGCCCGTGTGCTTGCCGCGGACGTGTAGGTGTATATACGGCGCGCGAGGAGCACAGATCTGTGAGAGGAGCACGTAATTGTATGCGTGCGCGCGTGCAAGAGGGAGAGGGTGTCCGGACTGAGTAGCCATCCGTAGAACCATATCCACTCCGTGCTACGGAGTCTATGTATATATATACATGTATGTATATCTATATATCTCTATATATATGTATTTACATACACACACACACACACACACACACACACACACACACACACACACACA